TTGGATTGCTTTGTATCTTTCTCTATCATTTTGCGTTGTCTTGAATAACTTTTATGACACGGTGTCATGTATTGTATATCATTTTCATTGAAGGAATGCACTGTTTCATTGTATTCGATTTATTTAGGTAAGTATTGTGAAATACGAAATGAAATCAACTTAAACTTAAAACTTACAAATTATGTCATGAATTAACGTGTATTTTGACACATCGAAATTATAATATTTTTGTATCGTTATTCACTAGTTCTAATCGTATCTAGAATATCATTACTCGAGATTACAGACAGATATTTATATGCAAATGTACATGTGTATTTGGGTGTATATGTATATGTGTATGTATACAGTAAACAACTGAATCATTCATACCTCTCGGAAATGTGAGGTTTTTGTTTGTGTTTTCCAAATCAAGAATAAAAGAAACACTGGTTGAGGTAGTGCCTTTGTTGAATAGTAATAGATGTAAGCTTTAATATGACAAATTCTCGCGAGGCACAATTGGGGGAAAATAATTGTTCACATACTTAACAAAATTACAAAACTTGGTAAGTATGAATAATTCAGTTCTTAACGGTATGTCTACGAGGCGCGATAGCTCAGTCGGTAGAGCAGTGGTCTCGTAATCTGGTGACACGGGTTCGAAACCAAGTCGATGCGCTAGTGCCCTTTGGTATTAGGCACTAATCCTCATTACCAGGTCTCTCGGAGAGGACCTAAAGCCGTCGGTCTTCATGGTTGCTTACTAACAAGCATTTATTGCTTTCTTAGCTGTCAGGTAAAATAACCACCACTATCACTATCACTACGTATATGAATACGTGTATGTATAATTATGTATATGCATATGTCTATGAAATATCTGTTTAATTTAGCTTATAATTGATGACCATAACCTTTCATGTCTGTATACCTTTCCTATTGCACTCTGTATAATTGTATCATGTATGTATTTCATCTTTTGCACAAGCTGCGCCTTGAGCATTTGACTATCAAGTGGATTTGAAGCGTTATAAATCTTATGTATTATTATTAGTTTTATTATTATGTATAAGTAAGTAGGCCTACATGTATAGGTAAGTTTATGTGTACATGTATGTATATTTGTATAATAAACCCTTTAAATAATTTACTATACAAACTTCAATTTTAGGTTGTAATCAAATATCTTTGACATTTCATCATTGCATGAAGCACTAACTAATATTTTACAATAAAGTTTCAACAAAGTCTCTTGGCAATACAAATGCGATTCTATAAAACACAAAAGAACGTACCGCCACTAATGCTATTCATTAATATGATCATTTTGAAATCTGAATGTGAAGATGAATAGTGCTCCGTCTTTTAAACATCATATATTAACATCTTTTCAGTGCTGTTTATTAGTGAAAGGAAGGACAAAAAACCACAAATTCGAACATTTGTAGAGCTTCGATAGTCAGACTTTTACAAAAAATGACTAAAGAACAAACACCTGATTATATATTTAAACACATTGGGGGTATTCCCTTGCCCCCATCTTGGTGTTCATAATGCAATCAGCGGTGCAACCAGGTAATATGGAAAAATGAAAGAAAGAAATCAAAATTTGATATCCCCACTTATGTTTCGCATATGAATCTAAATTGTCTGGAACAATCTTTATCCTGCCAACTATATGGAGCCCAAACATAAAACGCAATTCGAAAACAGTTTACATTCTCTATAAACGAATACTCGTCAAAATTGCTATATGTAGTACTTGATCCGTCTAGCCACCTTGCCTCACTAGGACTCGATCCAGTCAGCCCGATCCAGTAGTCCTCAGTTTCACCGGCAACGATGAAGTCCTCTTCCTCTTTCGACTCGATGAAGACCAGATGGGATCCGTATTGGGAACAAGCTGAAACCGCGGAAGCTTGATTCATCTCGCAAGTGCTGAAATAGTAGAACGATCCGTTGTATTCATGTTCCTCCGGAGGAGATGGGCATACTTAAAAGATGAAGAATACAAAATGTAAATTACTTAATTTTAAGAAAGTATACAAAGTGATTATTTGGGTAAAATCTGACATATTCAAAAAAGAAAATAATATGATGAAGACGAAAATAATAATAAGAATGAATATAATAAAATTAAAAATAAATCCAAAGACGTAAACAAAATCACAGCTTTAATAATCAATGTCAAAAGAAAGACACCTAAACATGATTACAAGGCCAAAACGATATAAATGTTAGCTCCATGTAAACATAAAAATGTCAACAGCTGATATATTTTATATGGTATAGCCCTTATCTATATCAGCATATTTTTAGATTTAGTGGTGATTTGTCAAAGTCTAAGGGACTTTTGTTACCAAATGATTGACCTATATGTATTGCTATGGCGTGTGTACTGTTGTTAAACTCGTGGACAAAAGAATAAGACGGTCACTTCCCCCCTTCACAAAATATTTTACCGACGCCCTGGAAAGGAATTTTAAAAAAGTGAGAGAGAGAGAGAGAGAGAAGGGAGATATAATGGCTAGACCCATTATGATAATGGTCGAGTGCATTCCATGATTATATCACTAATACCCCCTTCACATACACGGATTTTCCTTACGAGTCCTTACGGATAGCCAACTCGTAGTCAATCGCAAGCAACAGCAAGGCTCCCACTTAGCCGAGTTGGAACCACGAGTTGTGGCGAGCTGGCGCGATCTAATGGCAAGCCGTTTTATCATTCAAACATTTTTCTTGATATCACGAAATAAAATTCTTGATATCACGAATTCAATTCTTGATATCAAGAATTACCATTGCTTTACAACGTAAAATTATTTCTTGATATCACGAAATACGTTTTAATGATAAAACGGCTTGCCATAAGATCGCGCCAGCTCGCCACAACTCAAGGCTCCAACTCGGCTAAGTGGGAGCCCTGCTTTAATAACACGCTGGTATCCGTAAGCAGCTCGTCACAACTCGTAACAACTCGCAGACACTCGTTATGATCCGTGAAAGGAGAGGCAAATTTGTTGACATGTCAAAACTCGTAACAATCCGTAAGTATCGTAAACCGCTCGCTACAACACGTTACCATCCGTAAAATGTTTGCAAGAATCCGTTAATTACTCGTAACATGTTTTTAAACAAATTTGTTTCGGTTAGTTTACAATTTGTTAGCGGACTATTTACGGAGCATTTACGGATTATTAATGGATTATCACGAGTGCTCACGTGTTGTTTACGATTTCATTGGGCCGTGTTACGATGGCTTAACGGATTGTTACGAGTTACTGCGAGCAGTTTACGTGTAGCTACGAGTACTTTACGAATAGATACGTATACTTTACGTTTTTTGGGGGAAAGTATAAAAGCTGCAAATTTGAACACTTCATTTTCAGTTGTTATATTTTGGTTAAAAATCGTAAAGACTCATAAAAACTCGTAACTAACTCGAAACTGTTTGTAACAACACATAAACAGGTCGTTACTAACACGTAAGTTTCTCGTAGTTTCCGTGACAAATCGTGGAATTCTACCGTTAGTATATCGTAATAACTTGTAATAATCCGTAACAAGTCGTAAGTAGCTCGTAATAACTCGTAACAACTCTTAAATCGATCGTAAAAGTGGCCAAATCATAAGGTTCCGTGAAAGATCCGTGAATTTGAGCGCTCCGAAATGGCTCGTAAGAAAAATCCGTGTATGTGAAGGGGGTATTAGAGTTACTTGATAAAGTAGTGTTTTGGGAAGTCGTTGAGTCTGAGCGTTCCGACATCGTAGTAGTAGGGCTCGATGTAGACTTGTTGATTGCTTCCGTCGTTGACTCTATGATCACTGAAACAAAAACACAAAAAAACGTAACCGAGGTATATGACGATACAACAATGATTTTCTCTGAAGTTAATTTGTGGGAATCCCAATTCTATCAAAAAGTTCGGAAAGAGGACCGCGATGTATTTTCTTCTTCATCATCATCATCTTCATCTTCTTCTTCAGATGAACTACCAGCCACCGTCATGTATTGTCGTACTGGTGAGGTGCAGTGCAGAATAATTATGTAGGAACAATGTATAATAAAGAGATACAGCAAACTTCGTGCAAGTAAAAACAGCTTCGTGCAGGTAAAATCAACTACAGAAATTTCGTTTACCCCTGGTGGAGAGTCTCTGCATGCCCTTTGTTCATTGATAATATTGACCATTGTTTCTCTTACTCAGAGTCTGAGAGAGAGAGAGAGAGAGAGAGAGAGAAAGATGAAGAGAGACAGCAGGCGCGGATCCAGGATTTCTTAGGGGAGGGGGTAGTGAGCACTTTTTTTTTTTTTTTGATCCTCAAAAAAAATTCAATTTGCACCCCCCCCCCCTTGAGCGGCCCAACCCCCCAAAATCGTAAAAATCACGTGATTTTACATGATTTTTTTCTCAAGGGGGGGGGGCCGGGCCCATCGGGCCCCCCCCCCCCCCCTGGATCCGCCACTGAGAGACAGAATGGGGGAGGTTTGGTCGGTGAAGGAGGAGGAGAGAGAGAGAGGAGATAGAGAGAGAATAGAGAGTAAGAGAAAGAGAGAGAGAGAGAGAGAGAGACAGAGAGAGAGAGAGAGAGAAGAGAGAGGGGGTGAAGGGGGGGGGGGGGGTAGTGGCTATAGACCCATTATAATAATGATAAAATGCATGAGGTCATTTCATTGTTTCTCTTTCTTACTGGAGGTGGTGGTGTCTTGTGATGTCGTTGTGTCTGACATCGTGGTCGTTGGACTCGTCCTGAGATTGGTCGTCGCGTCCTTAGTCGATGATTCTCTTGACTCTGAAACGTTTTTAATAAACATAAGTGCATTCAATGATCATTATTTAACTAAGGGTATAGGGTAGTGCAGTTCATACGTTTGTATCATGTCACACACGGATACAGAGAAGTACACTTGTACATTTTGTTGCATGCAGCTATGTTTTTTTACCCCATTTTTTTTTTTTACAAGTAAAATGTTTTTTATAATGCTGCGGCACATTTTCTTTTGGCGGTTTACAATGCCGTTGTCTGGCCGGTTTGTTGAAGATCTAACAAACTGCTACCGTAGTGCCGTAGACGAGTACAGCCAGCGACGTTCACGGGTGGGAGGACTGCAGATATGTTCACTACATTCAACAGTTGCTTCCCCTACTGACAACACGCCTTGCCAGCGCGTCAGTATATGGCAAAAAACCCTCATGACAATTATGGAAAGACAACTTAAAGGAGGCCGTAAAGCCCATGGCCGTAACGGGCGCAACACTCAGAGTTGCAAATTGACCAGTAAACGCATCGAAGAGGATTCTTTTGATGAAGTTTTGCAGTCAAAGCCAAATGGAAGCTGTAAGATGGAGGGATGCAATAAAACTGGCCAAAAATCTGAACTAAATATTTGTACATACAATGTTAGAACCTTGAGAACCGAGGAAAGTTTAGAAAGTTTGTTGGATGAACTAGAGGGATTCAAATGGGACGTCATCGGGCTCGCTGAAACGAAGAGACGAGGAGAAGGATTGACAGAACTTAAAGGAGGCACATGGCTCTACAACAGGGGAAAAACAGAGGATGACAAAAATGCAAAAGGAACTGGATTTTTAATCCATAACAAATTTAAGGACTATGTGAAAGAAGTTAAAAGCTATTCAAACAGGGTAGCAGCCATGAAAATACAATTGACGGGAAAGGATGAAATGTGCATCATACAAGTTTATGCACCCACAAGTGATTATGATGATATAACAGTGGAGGAATTCTATGAAGATATCAACAAGGCCATTACAGACAATTCCGGTACCTACACAGTACTTATGGGTGACTTCAACGCGAAAATCGGACAACGTGAAAAAGGGGAAGAAAATATCATGGGATCATTTAGCTACGGAGAAAGAAACAGGAGAGGTGAAAGGATGATAGAATTTGCAATGGAACATAAACTTAAAGTGACCAATACATACTTTAAGAAACACAAGAGTCGTTACTGGACCTGGAAGAGTCCAAATGGAGTTACTAAAAACCAGATAGATTTCATACTTAGTAACCAGCGAGGGATAATCAAGAACTGTGAAGTCATCACCAATGTAGATATTGCAAGTGATCATAGAATGGTAAGAGTCAATATAAGCATCAACAACAAACTAGCTAGGCTTAGATTCATTCAAAATAAGAGGAAAACACGGATTAACATCATGAAGCTGAAGGAAAAGAAAGAAGAATTCCAACTAAAGCTTCACAACCGCTTTGATGGATTAGAGTTGGAGGATATGGACATTGATGAGCGATGCGATATGGTGACATCAGCAATGCTAGAAGAAGCCAAATCTGTAGACCCAACTGAGAAAAGAAAGATAGTAAGATCGGAAGAAGACAAAGAAATATAGGAACTAGATCAAAGAAGAAAGGAAATACGACTGAAAGAATATAAGACAACAACAGAAAAAGTGGAGTATGCAGAAATAGTCAAATTGGTGAAAAAGAAACGACGTCAAAGAAACAGACGAAAAACTTCTAAACTCATTTTGGAAACTCTAGAAAGCGGAAGGGGACCAAAAACAATACAAAAGATGGCAAGCAAAAAGTCCAGAATGAGCAAACTGAAGAAAAAAGATGGAAATATAACTTCTGACAGATCGGAACTGCTAGAAATATGCGCCGATTTCTACCAGGAACTTTATGGTTAAACGAAAAAACAACCTAAGGATCGTATAGATATCTCATCCAGAAAATCAGACATACCGCCAATACTACAGAGAGAAGTTGAGGAAGCTGTAAACAGTATGAAGGATAACAAGGCACCGGGAATGACGAAATAACAAGTGATATTATCAAACAAGGAGGGGAGGAGACAATCACACAGTTACTGAAACTATTCAACCAGATATTGGAAAAGCAACAGATTCCAACCATTTGGAAAGAGGCAAAAATAATTCTTTTATACAAGAAAGGTGACAAAGCTGATGTCAAAAACTATCGCCCTATCAGCCTTCTATCTCATCTGTACACGATCTTCACCAAAGTAATCCAAAATAGAATCAAAGATAGATTGGACTCAAATCAACCCAGAGAACAAGCAGGGTTTAGAGCTGGATTCTCAACAACAGACCACCTACAAGCTATAAATCAACTAATTGAGAAGGCAAATGAGTACCAACTTCAACTATGCCTCGGATTCGTAGACTACCAGAAGGCGTTTGATTCCATCGAACACACAGACATGTTTGATGCCCTACGAAAGATTAACATTGAAGGAGGGTATGTGCGCATCCTGGAAGATATTTACACCAACGCAGTAGCCAGAATTCACATTGATAATGATGTATCAAAGGAGGTCAAGATCCAGAGGAGAGTCCGACAGGGAGACACATTATCTCCAAAGATATTCACAGCCACTATAGAGGAAGTATTTAAAAAGTCGCGTTTAAATGGAGGAATAAACATTGATGGGGAAACGCTTACTGATCTAAGATTTGCTGATGATGTGGCCTTGATCTCAACATCAACCAAAGACTTGGAAGACCAGCTGACAGGTCTCAACAGGGAGAGCAAACATATTGGCCTAACTATGCACAAAGAGAAAACTAAATATATGACTAATTATGACACAGATGAAAACATCGAGATAGAAGGTCGAACGTTAGAGAGAGTGAGCAGTTACAAGTATCTGGGACAAACTTTGAAAATGGAGGACACCACAAAAGAAGAAGTTATGATGAGAGTAAAAGCAGGATAGATGAACTTTGGAAGATACAAAGACATGTTGACCGAAAAAAACATACCCATGTCACTAAGAAGAAGAATGTTCAACCAATGCATTCTAACAACTATGACATATGGATCAGAAACATGGTCATTGACAAAGGATCTAGAACAGAAGATTGTGACTACTCAAAGAGCTATGGAGAGAAAGATGTCGCATTTATCTCTACGAGACAAAATCAATCACAAAGTCATACGCCAGAAAACAAAGGTTAAAGACATCATGGAGAAAGTAAGAGAATCAAAGTGGAGATGGGCTGGGCACAGTGGCGGATCCAGGGGGGGGGGGCCCGGGGGCCCGGCCTCCCCCCCCCCCTTGAGAAAAAAAATCATGTAAAATCACGTGATTTTTACCTTTTTTTGAGGTTAGGCCCGGGCCCCCCCCCCCCTTGAGAAAAAAAATCATGTAAAATCACGTGATTTTTACCTTTTTTTTAGGTTGGGCCCCCCCCCCCCCCTGGCGCTCAAGGGAGGGGGGGGGAGGGTGCAAATTGAAATTTTTTTTGAGGATCAAAAAAAAAAAAATGTGCTCACTACCCGGCGCGATTTTCAAATATTCGGGAGCAAAAAAAAAAAAGTTGGGCCCCCTCCCCTAAGAAATCCTGGATCCGCGCCTGGCTGGGCATGTAGCAAGACTGCAGGACAATAGATGGACAAATCGTTTAACAGAATGGCAACCAAGGGTGGGAAAGAGAAGAAGAGGAAGGCAGAAGAGAAGATGGAGAGATGACCTAACATCATACATGGGAACGGCCGCTTGGACCAGGACAGCTAGAGACAGAAGAGAATGGAAATTTCATGAGGAGGGCTTTGTCCAACGTCTGGATGAACTATAGCCTGATAGATAGATAGATAGATAGGGTTTCGAAAAATGATTCCACACGTACAAAGCAAAGAGATTAGGAATGACACCTAAACATGATTACAAGGCCAAAACGAGGAGTATTTTAGCTCCATGTAAACATAAAAATGTGAACAGCTTATATATTTTATAAGGTATATGCCTTATCTATATCAGCATATTTTTAGATTTAGTGGTGATTTGTCGAAGTCGAAGGGACATTTGTTACCAAATGATTGACCTAAATGTATTGCTTTAGCGTGTGTACTGTTGTTAAACTCGTGGACAAAAGAATAAGATGGTCATTTCCCCCCTTCACAAAATATCTTACCGACGCCCTTGATAGAAAAGGACTTTTAAAAAAGTGAGAGAGAGAGAGAGTGAGAGAGAGTGAGAGAGAGCGAGAGGGAGAGAGGGAGGGAGAGAGAGAGAGGGAGAGAGAGAGAGAGAGAGAAGGGGGATATAGTGGCTAGACCCATTATGATAATAATGGTCGAGTGCATTCCATGATTATATCGCAAAGACATACTAGAGGTAATGGTGTTTTGGGAAGTCGTTGTGTCTGAGCGTTCCGAAATCGTAGTCGTAGGGCTCGCTGTAGACTTGGTAATCGCTTCCGTCGTTGACTCTATGATCACTGAAACAAAAATAAAAAACGTAACCGAGGTACATGACGATACAAAAATGATTTTTTTTTTTCTCCTGAAATTAATTTGTGGGAATTCCAATTCTATCATAAAGTTCGGAAACAGTACCGCGATGTATTTTCTTCTTCATCTTCATCATCATCTTCTTCTTCTTCAGATGCACTACCAGCCACCGTCATGTGTTGTCGTACTGGTGAGGTGCAGTCCAGAATAATTATGTAGGAACAATGTATAATAAAGAGATACAGCAAACTTCGTGCAAGTAAAAACAGCTTCGTGCAGGTAAAATCAACTACAGAAATTTCGTTTACCCCTGGTGGAGAGTCTCTTCATGCCCTTTGTTCATTGATAATATTGACCATTGTTTCTCTTACTCAGAGTCTGAGAGAGAGAGAGAGAGAGAGAAAGATGAAGAGAGACAGAATGGGGGAGGTTGGGTCGGTGAAGGAGGAGGAGAGAGAGAGAGGAGATAGAGAGAGAATAGAGAGTAAGAGAGAGAGAGAGAGAGAGAGAGAGAAAGAGAGAGAGAGAGAGAGAAAGAGAGAGGGGGTGAAGGGGGGGGGGGGTATTGGCTATAGACCCATTATAATAATGATAAAATGCATGAGGTCATTTCATTGTTTCTCTTTCTTACTGGAGGTGGTGGTGTCTTGTGATGTCGTTGTGTCTGACATCGTGGTCGTTGGACTCGTCCTGAGATTGGTCGTCGCGTCCTTAGTCGATGATTCTCTTGACTCTGAAACGTTTTTAATAAACATAAGTGCATTCAATGATCATTATATAACTAAGGGTATAGGGTCTCGAAGAATGACTCCACACGTTTAAAGCAAAGAGATTAGGAATGACGCCTAAACATGATTACAAGGCCAAAACGAGTAGTATTTTAGCTCCATGTAAACATAAAAATGTGAACAGCTAATATATTTTATAAGGTATATGCCTTATCTATATCAGCATATTTTTAGATTTAGTGGTGATTTGTCGAAGTCGAATAGGGACATTTGTTACCAAATGATTGACCTAAATGTATTGCTTTAGCGTGTGTACTGTTGTTAAACTCGTGGACAAAAGAATAAGATGGTCACTTCCCCCCTTCACAAAATATTTTACCGACGCCCTTGATAGGAAAGGACTTTTAAAAAGTGAGAGAGAGAGAGTGAGAGAGAGGGAGAGATAGGAGAGAGTGAGAAAGATAGGAGAGAGTGAGAGAGAGAGAGAGAAGGGGGATATAGTGGCTAGACACATTATGATAATGGTCGAGTGCATTCCATGATTATATCGCAAAGACATACTAGAGGGAGTGGTGTTTTGGGAAGTCGTTGTGTCTGAGCGTTCCGAAATCGTAGTCGTAGGGCTCGCTGTAGACTTGGTAATCGCTTCCGTCGTTGACTCTATGATCACTGAAACAAAAATAAAAAACGTAACCGAGGTACATGACGATACAAAAATGATTTTTTTTTTTTCTCCTGAAATTAATTTGTGGGAATTCCAATTCTATCAAAAAGTTCGGAAAGAGGACCGCGATGTATTTTCTTCTTCATCTTCACCATCATCTTCTTCTTCTTCAGATGCACTACCAGCCACCGTCATGCATTGTCGTACTGGTGAGGTGCAGTGTAGAATAATTATGTAAGAACAATGTATAATAAGAGATACAGCAAACTTCGTGCAAGTGAAAACAGCTTCGTGCAGGTAAAATCAACTACAGAAATTTCGTTTACCCCTGGTGGAGAGTATCTTCATGCCCTTTGTTCATTGATAATATTGACCATTGTTTCTCTTACTCATAGTCTGAGAGAGAGAGAGAGAGAGAGAGAGAGGTGAAGAGAGACAGAAAGGGGGAGGTTGGATCGGTGAAGGAGGAGGAGAGAGAGAGGAGAGAGAGAGAGAGAATAGAGAGAAAGAGAAAGAGAGAGAGAAAGAGAGAGAAAGACAAAGAGAGGGGGTGAAGGGGGGTAGTGGCTATAGACCCATTATAATAATGATCAAATGCATGAGGTCATTTAATTGTTTCTCTTTCTTACTGGAAGTGGTGGTGTCTTGTGATGTCGTTGTGTCTAACACCGTGGTCGTTGGACTCGTCATGAGATTAGTCGTCGCGTCCTTAGTCGATGATTCTCTTGACTCTGAAAATTTTTAATAAACATAAGTGCATTTAATGATCATTTTATAACTAAGGGTATAGCGTCTCGAAGAATGACTCCACACGTACAAAGCAAAGAGATTAGGAATGACGCCTAGACATGATTACAAGGCCAAAACGAGGAGTATTTTAGCTCCATGTAAACATAAAAATGTGAACAGCTAAGATATTTTATAAGCTATATGCCTTATCTATATCAGCATATTTTTAGATTTAGTGGTGATTTGTCGAAGTCGAATAGGGACATTTGTTACCAAATGATTGACCTAAATGTATTGCTTTGGCGTGTGTACTGTTGTTAAACTCGTGGACAAAAGAATAAGATGGTCACTTCCCCCCTTCACAAAATATTTTACCGACGCCCTTGATAGGAAAGGACTTTTAAAAAAGTGAGAGAGAGAGAGAGAGAGAAGGGGGATATAGTGGCTAGACCCATTATGATAATGGTCGAGTGCATTCCATGATTATATCGCTTAGACATACTAGAGGGAGTGGTGTTTTGGGAAGTCGTTGTGTCTGAGCGTTCCGACATCGTAGTCGTAGGGCTCGTTGTAGACTTGGTGATCGCTTCCGTCGTTGACTCTATGATCACTGAAACAAAAACACAAAAAACGTAACCGAGGTACATGACGATATAAAAATGATTTTTATTTTTCTCCTGAAATTAATTTGTGGGAATTCCAATTCTATCAAAAAGTTCGGAAAGATGACCGCGATGTATTTTCTTCTTCATCTTCACCATCTTCTTCTTCTTCTTCAGATGCACTACCAGCCACCGTCATGCATTGTCGTACTGGTGAGGTGCAGTGTAGAATAATTATGTAAGAACAATGTATAATAAGAGATACAGCAAACTTCGTGCAAGTGAAAACAGCTTCGTGCAGGTAAAATCAACTACAGAAATTTCGTTTACCCCTGGTGGAGAGTCTCTTCATGCCCTTTGTTCATTGATAATATTGACCATTGTTTCTCTTACTCATAGTCTGAGAGAGAGAGAGAGAGAGAGAGGTGAAGAGAGACAGAAAGGGGGAGGTTGGGTCGGTGAAGGAGGAGAAGGAGGAGGAGGAGGAGAGAGAGAGAGAGAGAGAGAGAGGGGGGGGGGGGGTTGAAGGGGGACGTGGCTAGACCCATTATAATAATGATCAAATGCATGAGGTATTTTCATTGTTTTTCTTTCTTACTGGAGGTGGTGGTTTCGCGCGATGTCGTTGTGTCTAACACCGTGGTCGTAGGACTAGTCCTGAGATTAGTCGTCGCGTCCTTAGTCGATGATTCTCTTGACTCTGAAAAGTTTTTAATAAACATAAGTGCATTCAATGATCATTTTATAACTAAGGGTATAG